ATGAAGAGCTTCCCCCCGGATGGACTGGGGCAGCCAGGACCTTTCTGGACAGCCACAGCTCCCCAGAGACCACCCTAGGCAGACGCTGCCCATACTGGGGACGCAGCGGGGCCCGCAGTGGGAGGCTCAGCTCCACTTCAGATACCAGGTTGTGAGCGAACCCCAGAACTGGGATGCAGATCACGGCCAGCCACCTGGCAGCTTCATCCCCATGAAGGATGTTTACGTGTGCCTCATTTTTCACTGCAGTGTTGGCAGCGCTGGCTGTGTTATTGCAAGCCTCAATAATTGATGTGTTTCTTAAAAATCCAACTCCTAGAGTTATTTAGCGATGTGAGAAATCACAACTTTTCCTCAGGAGTGCACCTTACAAATGTTTGTACGTTTGTTCCATTACAGCAGACAGAGGAAAATCCCTGAATATATGGAAATTGTAACAAACCAGAACAGAAGAAATATCACAGCTGTACAATGCATTAGGTCTAAATTAACCATAAACAGGTCTCATAATTTTAAATTGGATTTGACTCATAATTTTTGATTGCTTCTAACTGGCAATTTTACAACACTTTAGGTCTTTTGCACTCTCTCCCTCATGTGATAAATAAGAACTGTCTAAATAAGAAAATTGTCTAATACTTTTAGGAACATGCACAAGGATTTTAAAATCTAAACAAATTCACTCTGCAAGTTTGCCTCTTTGCACTGTTATTTTCAGTGGGTCATATGCAAAATGTACTTACCTTGGAGACAATGCTACAGTGATGTTCTCTTTATTTGTCCGGAACATCTGCAATGAAGGCACAGTCCAGAAATGGTTGAAGCACTCTCGGCTATACCTGAACACACCTGGTGATACGGCTTTTCCCACCCTCATTTTGTTTTTTCCTCTATTAGGTCTTCTATTTTTTTTTCCTCTTTTACCATGTCTAATCTTACCTTGACAAAAGCTGAGGAGCCCTGTGCTAATCAACCAACAAATGTTTGTTCTTGGTGGTAAAGACTGGGGCACTAAAAGCACTTAGAGTTGCCATGCCCTGAAGAGGGAAGAGCGGAGGTTGCAAAATGTGCAGGACAGCCCGTAGCAGAGAGATGCCCTTAGTGGTTCTCATGCTTTACACACCTGCAGCTCTGTGGGATTCCTGTGATTCAGGAATTTTCCAGCAGACTCTTTCACAAGCGTGTGAGAGTCTGCTGAGCAGGTCTCACTTACTAAAAGGCAGACATTTGGGTTACCTTTGCTTTTTTGCTCCTCTCCCCCATTTTTTTGTTCAGACAAATAAGCACACATACATGCAATGTTTCTAAAGGGTCTCAGTATTCCCTTATCTTGGAGAACTGCTGAAAACTGGAATCTGATCTTTATTCCTTACAGAGGATGTTATGGTAACCTAGATTCACGAAGGTATTTAGGTATCTAGCTCATATTGATTCAATATCTGTCAAGTAAAAATGTTTCAGGCCCTCCAAAATCTGAAATCCATGAGAGTGCTCTGCTTCCTGGGAATGAATGCAGTGTTAAAACATCTTTAGATGTTCACTTACTGACTGTCCACAATAATTTTTCACACCTCAGGATGATCTCACTGAGACTTCATTCTTGCTTGGCAAAGCTCTTGGTTTGATCCTCTGCTTTGCAGAGCTATCAATTTTGTGCTCACATACACTTACTGATAACAACTACTGTGGGGACTTTCAGGAAAACTTATTAAAAATGAGGAGATGCTACCTTAAAGTCACTTTAATATTATTTCCTAGTCTAAATAACTTGTGTGCAAAGCCTAGATTTGAAAAATAGTCTCTTCGCAGAGACAGAATACATTTCACACTGGAAAAGCGAGAAAAGAAACATTTTTATACATTTATTATACAATATTAAGGCACAAGTTTAAACAGCAAAGAATAAGAAATCTTTGGCTGCCCAACAATATCAATATTTGCTGTGGGTAACACATAACGGTCTTCATTTTCCCACCTATGTACAAATAACTCTCCAGCTGTACAACACTGTACACCAACCTTTCTATACAACCAGCAACAATAAAAATGACAGTATTTTACAACTAGTTACCAATGTCACCTGGAATGGCTACAACACATTTTCACAAAACACTGTAAAAATTCAAATAGCTGGAAAGAATAGTGCACCGCTTTGTTGAGAGAAGTGAACTGGTTTATGGCAGTAGTACTCCATGCAAATTCTGGTAGTGCTTCGGTCTGGGAGGGACGACTCACTGGTCCTTCTCTCTTGGCAGAAAAGTTACAATATCTTGAGTACAACCCAAGTAAGAAGAATGAACCTTTAGGTTTATTTCATCTGTGAACTCAAAAGTGAATGAGATTTGCCTACATTGTAACTCTGCAATAAACACTCCGTCATTTATGGACACAAATCAGGGGTAGCATCAATTGCAAAAACACTTTTGGGTATTGGAGACTGGGGGGACTGTTGTTCACATGAGAAAGAGGAGGGGTGACTTCCAGAAGCAAAGCTGCACCACGAAGAGGCAGAACGAACCGAAAGCAACGTCATGCACACTAACCAAACACTATTGCTGTGGGATGCCTCACTGTCTATCTGTACAGAAGTTATTAAATAGCTTAATCGAAGGAAATAATACAGCAAATAATACAGCTTAGGGACGTCCAAGCAGCTGTGTATCCTTATTTCTCAGAGAAGACCAACAAAGTGAAAGAATACTTCTCATTTTACTTATATTCCCTTGCTTTGCTTTCCTCCTGCCCTGCTCCCAGGAAAGATGAAGACCCAACAGTGCTTGCTGCCTTTGACTGAGGAAAGGTAACTGAAGTGGGTCATTGCTGCAAGGGCAGGAGGATGCTAAAGGCTGCAGCCAACCATTGTCCCACAGAGGCCCTGGGTTTTACACAAACACTTAGGACTTTTAAATTAACTTTAGAGAAAAAATAAAATTATTTTACAAGGCATATATTAAGCTGTATAACATATTCCATGGATTTACACATTTGGTTTTGCGATACAAAGCTGCTAATACTCAAAACACACAATTCTCTGTTGACTAACAAGCAACCTACCACTTCTTCTTTCAACAAGTGCAAAAATCACAAAGAAGGTGACACCAACACATGCCTAATTCTATGTACATACAAAAAAAAATAAGTGCATTGATTTAATGTAGCAATTAAAAAAAAAAGGAAGAAGAAAAAAAAGTATTTCTTAGCCATGCAGTTTTGAGCATAGGGCTGCATTCAGGCACCTGCAGGTTTTGAGACTGCAAAGACATTAGTTTTCCATGAAAGCAGAGTTTAAAGTCCCTGCTGTTTTTGTGATCAAGAGCTACATCTCAATACCTACAGGAATGTGAGACCCAAGGCCAGTCCTGAGCACACAACTCTTTCTGACATGACAGCACCCATCCCTTTGCCATTCTAGGCACCTTCACATCAAATTCCATCACCCTTTTCCAAAAGTCAAGTTCTTCCTAATGTCAAAACAGTGAACTAGAAGATTTGGGAAGAGGAAAAAACACTATAAAAACATCTCAAATATAGGAAAATTTCCCCATCAGCATTTGCAAAACACGAAGCAAATGGTATGCTACAATTAACACTGCTGGTGAATTGGCTGTCTTCCATATTGCCGCCTCTCACAGAAATCAGTGACTAGACTGAAAATGAAATGTTCTGTCTTGGGAGAAAACAAAGTGAAAAGAGACTGCAGCTCAGCAGAGAAAATAGATGATGCTCATGCACTGCTATGCAGTTAAACCCTTGCCAGCCTGGTCCTACACCTCTTAAATGCCCAGTCCCACTTGAACCTGAATGGAGGATCTGTATGCTCAAGGAAGGTAGGATTTGGCTGCAGGTTTCAAAAAATAAGGAAATTTGCAAATTCTTACCACAAACACCTTGATTCTTCCGTTGTTGCTAATTGCTTTAGTAACTGATTGTGCTTCCAGTTTGCACTAGCACACTGAGACATGTTCTGATCTCATGTGTAAGCCATGTTTAATTCCACTGAAACAATTCCAGTCATCAGTATTTTCTGCTTCCCTCCCATCTCTCTATTGCAATTGTCCTCCTTACTTTTCAGTTACCTTGGGCTAAATTCTCTCCACAGTTTCACGATTTGAGTGACATTTGCTGAAACTTGTGTGCCCCTGCTGAGAGCACTGGAATTGGTGACTCAGATCAGAAGATGCCTGGGGAGAGCTGCAGAGTGCCCTGATGCTCCCCCATGGGGCCCTGTGCTCCTGGGAAGTCGCTGCAGGGCACCAGGGACACTGGATGCTCCTCGATGCTGCTGAGCCCCCTTACCCCCACTAGCACACCTATATAAATAAAAATCCCTAGTTCCACTCCTGCCGCTGCCCACTTGACTAACTCGGCGTGCACACCCGGTCAGTGGAGCTGCCAGGATCCTCCCCTGGCTTTGCCTCCTGAAACCGTCCCAGCATTACAGAAGGGATTGCTTCAGCAGGCTCCCACCCACTCTTACATTCCTCTTTCATGGGAATTCCAGCTCAGCAACTGCTCTTACCGAAAGAGAAGTCTAGGCAATCTCCGAGTTTGCACAACTGGAATATTTGCACTGCAAATCCAGCTCCAAGAATAACACCTGTCCAGCCAGGAAAAAGACACCTGACCTGTGTTACCCAGGAAAACCACACCACACCACTTCAAACAAATACGTACAAGAACCTGCTATGTGCATCTACAGACCAATTATTCACTAAAACCACAGCAGTGAATACTTTTGAGAAATGAATCAATTCCAAGGAAGATGCAGATTTCTCCTGGGTTATTCGTGAACTTCCATTGGCATCACAAGATTCAGGATTTCTCTCCCTGTCTTGGCTGTAGCTGGACAGTAAAACAGAACCATGCTGTGCACTCACTTTAAAACCCAGCTACCTTCTCTTTACATCAGAAAATGCAGTTTCCTTTTTTTCTTGATGACACCTTCCCAAGCCTTCTGTTTTTAATGCCCTTTTCTTCTCAGAAAATTCCAGACTTTCATTTTCAGCTGTTTTTCCTTCTTGCCTGGTCCAAAGCCACAGCACACCAGACTCAAAACTTCTTTTCAGGCACAAACTTTCTTCTCCTTCCTTCAAACTCTCCCAGTCAGTTTGTAAGGTTGGCACACCGATGAGCTCCTTGCACCTGAATGTATGCACTCAAACCCCCAGAGATGCCATCCTTTGCTCAGATGAGAACTTCCATCATGTCTGTATCGGGGAACTCGGGCTTGTGGAGCAAACTGCTCACTCTGCCCTTGTTCTCAGGTGGTTTCCCATGACTGCAGTTGTCTGGAACAACAAGAAGGGAAAGTAGGTCTTCAAATTCAATAGCAAATTGTTCACAGCAAATATAAACCAATGGCAGGGGGAGAGGGAGAGACATCCTAACCCATACATCGTAAATATTGAAGTCTATACTTGATCAGGAGGCCAAAAAAGGTAATCCTGAACTCCCCGCACAATGAAACAGTGGTGCCAATGACAGCAAGTTCGCTAGTGTACGTGGGACACAAGGTCAGGCACCAAAATGCATATTTAGCAGGTACAGACAAGAGATACAGTACCTCTTCTGCTGTGTCCCTAATGAGAAATAGACAGGTGATTGCACAAGATTTACACCAGATTAACAAGTTATTACGCATCGGCTGATCCATGGTAACTCTGCATATGTGTATTCCTATTCTGCTTAGATTACAAAGTTTACGAGCTTAACTCGTCTTGTAGGCAGCACACAAATAATCAGGTGGATTCATCCAAAATATTCTACTTTGCCACTGGGGCAGGCTAGGAGCATGCATATGGTAAGGCAGAATTTACAAACACATTAATTAGGTATCAATAATGAGACATTAATTAGGTATTTATCCTTATTATCAGTTCTTGACATCGTGAGATTCAGAAAGGACTCAATGCCTTAAAAGGGAACAGCCTAATTTCCAAGGATCTGGAAAGGATCCTAGTTGCCTCTGCACAAAACCCATGGACTCCAAGTCTCAGGCACTTGTGGTCTTGCCCTGTTGGTGACATGCAGGAGGAAGGGCTTAGGGGAGCTCCCTCCTGAGCGCAGGGAGGGGTGCCTGGCACTACGCGATGGCAGATCAGTGAAAGGAAGACAGCTGCTTGAAAGGAAACACTTGAAAATCACACACAGCGCCACTCACCTTTCTCGCGGGTGGTGGGGAGCCGCGGGGCCGGGCTGTGCGTGACGGCAGTGCCCGGACGCACTCGGCTGGGCAGGGAGGCGCTGGGGGCAGCGGGCCAGAAGAGCTCGGTGCTCTTGTCGGTCTGCGTGCTGCTGTCCCTGCTGCCCGTCTTGGCGTGCGAGGCCGGCGCGCTCGGCAGCGAGGGCGGCGCAGGTGCTGTCGCGGGGCTCCCTGGCAGCTCTGGGGGCTCTTTGCCCAGCAGCAGCCCTGCAGGCAGGCAG